CCGAGCTGCCGGCCGTGAGTGCCCTTGCCGAAGGGGTCTCACCGTGCGGCGGAGCCGCCATCCCGCCCGCTCTCTGGGCCGTTACGGGGCCGGGGTCGCGCCGTGGGCTGAGGGAAGAGGCTGGAAGGAGCAGCGTGTGGGGTCGGCAGGCGCGTCTCCCGGCGCTCCTCTTCTTTTACCCCCAGCATGCATGTAGCTTCTTCCCCCCCCCCAACTGTCCTTCTAATTGGACAATTAGACAACATTTCGTGCAAGGTGTTAGATCCCAGTTTGTCTAGTTGTTCTTATTAGTACAACGAGTTTGGTTACGCTGTATTTTTTTTTTATTATTTAGGCTGGAAAATTGCTTCCCACTGGTGATACAGCTGCATGTTGCCTCACTGAGGTATTACCCAGGGTGAGTTGGTTTTTCAGATGCTCCTTGTGAAACTTCTGTAATAATTTCCCATTAGTGAGTGTGCTTTGAGGCAGGCCAAAAAAAAGAAAAAAAAAATCAGTGAAACTTGGGTTATTTTTTTCTATATCCCTTTTCTCTAGAAAGTACCGTAGGGTTTTTAAAATGTTTTTATTACATGGGATCATAGAGAACAGCTGAAAGGATTCTAAAACCCTTCTGGCGGTTCTTTTTCACTCTGTATATTTTACAAAATTCACTATACCTGCTTAGATGGGACTAAGTGAAAATGTTTTACAGTTTTCTCTAGTAATAGAATGATAGTGATTATTATTGGAATTATTATTCCTTCTGATGGAGATCCTTCTTACCAAGCATGCCCCTCAGAACTGTGCTTCCTACTGGCCATTACCCACACTCCTGAAGAGTCAGACGGTACAAAGGCACAAGCATAATACATTAAATAGCAGCTTTCCCTTTAAATGGCTAATTAAACAAACAAACAACTCTGGCTAAAGTAACTTCTGAAATTGCTTCATTGATGGTGGATTACGAATCAGGTTAAAGGTTTCTGAAGATGATAAATGTAACATCTGCTTTTCATTAAGTATACAATGAAGGAGCTGTTACTTGTCTTAAAAATAGAACCAAATAGTTGAAATGTAGCGAGTCATTATTTCTGTTGCTGATTTGATAAAATTTAGGCTGGGCTATGTTGACCATATGCTTAGAATATCCATATGTGCAGGAGCCTGTGTTGTAGCCCTAGAAGGTCCTCATATTTTATTCTTACCTCTGTGGAATCACACTGAAATGGGTGGGTGCAGTATGTTTTCTTTTCCTTTTTGTGAATACGTGGTAAAAACTGTTTTTGCTTTGTCTTGCATACAGCCCATTACTCCAACTACTGTGCGAAAGTTTCGAAATACAACAAATCCAGCTCCTGGTGTTAAAAAAATATTCTACGGCAGAGCAGATGATCCTGACATTGCAACTCAATTAACACATGGCATAGCATCACGTTCTTCACCTAGTGTATGAATCCGATTCTTTTACTCTTGTTTAAGAATGGCCCACTTAATAATGTCCTTAATAAAAGCAAGTGATTTCATCATAGTCAGAGATAAAGGTACATAGCTGAATGATTTACACTGTAGCATTTCACTGCTGTTGTGGATTATCTGAATTCTGAGGTCAATTCATAGGATTTAACCATGAGCCAGTAATGTGGCCTTGTGGTGAAGAAGGCCAATGGTATCTTGCGGTGCATTAAAAGGAGTGAGGCCAGCAGGTCAAGGGAGCTTCTCCTCCCCCTCTACTCTGTCCTAGGGAGACCACATCTGGAGCATTGTGTTCAGTTCTGGGCTCTCCCAGTTCAAGAGAGACAGGGAACTACTGGAGAGAGGCTAGTGGAGGGTTACGAAGATGATTAGGGGACTGGAGCGTCTCTGATGAGGAAAGTCTGAGACACTTGGGTCTGTTTAGCCTGGAGAAGAGAAGACTGAGAGGGGGTCTTATCAGTGGTTATAAATATCTGATGGGTGGGTGTCAAGAGGGTGCAGCTGGTGTCTTTTCAGTGGTGCCCAGCAATAGGACAAGGGGCAATGGGCACAAACTGGAACATGGGAAGTTCTGCCTGAATATCAGTAACAACTTCTTTACTCTGAGGGTGATGGAGCACTGGAACAGGCTGCCCAGTGAGGTTGTGCAGTCTCCTTCTCTGGAGACTTTCAAAATCTGCCTGGGTGTGTACCTGTGTAACCTGCTGCAGGTGAACCTGCTTTGGTAAGGCGATCAGACTAGATGATCTCCAGGGGTCCCTTCCAACCCCTACCATTTTGTGATTTAATTAGCAGGATTGAAATAGGAAAACACTTGAGGTTCGGTGACTTTTATCTGGGACTTAATTTTTGCAATGACAGCTGAACTACTAATTTCAACATTTAAGTTAATGAACAATCTTCTACCCACAAATTTTGCTGCTTTTATCTTTAATGATTACAGAGATAAAACCTATTGAGCAGTTAGCAAGAGTACTGATATCTGAGAATGTGCTTATACTTCAGTGTAGTTATTATGTACTCTTTATTACCTTTGGGTTGAAACAATATTGTTAGCTAAAAAATGATGTTTTGGATACGTCAGTCTATATTGTGTGTATTCTTTTACCTCAGAAATTATTTTTGTAATCTGTCATCAAGCAACTGAAATCAGTGAGTTTATCACATAATTGTTGTTGAAATGTCTAAAAATAAAAGTTGTGTTAATAGAATACACTATGATGTATACACAGACGATGTATTTCATCATCTGGGCTTGTAAGTTAATACTTCTCAACTTTACAAATAAAGAAATTGAGCCAAAGAGGAGTTCAGGTCTCAAAAATAAGTCTTCAAGTTGAAACACGTAAGTTCTGACATTAGCGGTTGTTGAGTGGGACATTTATTAGGTATATCCAAACTGGAAAAAGTCAGGTTCTTGGTGCCCCTACTCAGAAGGTTTATTTTGAATGCATTGATTTATTTAGTCTATACTGTCTGTTGAAGACTGCTTTGCTTTACATTATTAATTAAATATTAACTGGAGAAAGAGCTGGAATCTTATTTTGCTAAGCACGGGTTTGGATCTAGTGTATTTGCTACTACTTTTTTTCTGTATTTCTGTATATAACATTCAGCAAGAGTCTAATAGTAAACTCTCTCTAGAGTCCCCATTACATTGATGGGTAGCCTGAAAAATCAAATTATTTGCAAAGATCAAAATACCCTGTTTTGGTATTTTAGATTTTTTTTTTAAAAATCTTCTTTTCCCCCCTTGAAGTTCATCTAGTTTTACAAGTAACTTCTATTGAGCCAAACCTGGTGTGTACATTGAGCAAAAATTTTGTCCACCCTAGTGCTAAGCTTTGAAAACCCTGCTGAAGTAATTTCTGTTGAAATGATTTTAGGATGCGATCTTAGTATATATCCTGAAATAATATTTTCAAATTCTGCATCTTCAGAATCTGGAGTAGCTGTTTAGAGATTAGATAGTTTTAACTGCTAGACAAAGCTATTTTTAATCATAAGCACCAAGAGATTTCATTCCAAAGATGTTAGAACTGTAATAATTTTCACACAAGTTTTGGACGTATTATAATTTCTCAATGTTTTTTAATAAATGATAAGAACAGAAAAGCTGCAATCTGAAATTCTGTAAAAAATGGAAAAACTTGCACAAAAATAAAAAGTTCTGTCTCATATATTTTATTTAGCTGGTGATTTAGCACAGCACTGAATATTAGTGGTCTTAAAATACATTTTTATTTTGCAGCTTGGTAGATAAAATTCTGTCCGTGTAATCATATTAAGATCTCATTAGAACAGTTATGACCCACCTTCTGTTTTGTGCGTGGGAGGGGTAGCCCTGCTGATGTGCGGATGATTAAATTTTGCTGGTTTTCCTGCCTTTTGTGTTGTTTGTGATGTTTTCAGGCAGCTTCATTGATAAATCCACTTCCTAAAACCAATTTTCAACAAAGAATTCAAGACAAAAAAGAAGCAATTTACTTTAGTAACCGTCAAGCATGCTTGGGCAGATCACATGATCGATCTTCTATGTTACCTGAAGGCTTTGATATAATTAATACTGTATTTGGAACAAAAGTCATCCAAGGTAGGAAAATTTACCATTAAAATGTGTTTCTTCTAAATAGAAGACAATCTGCATTTTAGTACCTACATTTTCGTACCTATTCTGTGCTTCCAACAATTCCAGCTTAATAAAAAAGCTATTATTATAGCAGTTATTGAAAGGATAAAAATGTACTGGTATTTTTCAGTTACAATGAAGAAAATGGCAACTGAGAATGGATGTAACTAGTGGGGCTTTTGGCTCTATTCCAGATCTGTCTTTGTAGATTTCCTGGAGAACTGTTTAGGTACCTGACAGTTTTCTTCTCTCAGTTATTCTAGTAGGTCTAAAAGATATTACCTTGACCTGTGAATCTGTCCTCTGTAGACTGGAGCAAATCACATGTTGACTGTGTAGCTGTCTTGCAACAGATACGTTCATCTCAGCTTCTGTGATTTTTTTTCCCCCTAATCCCATGTCATTATGTTGTAAAATTACTATAGGTTGACTAGAAATGTGCTAAGAAGCATCATTCTTCCACAGTATTAGCATCTTCTCTGATAAGATATTATCTGATATTATTTAAAATCAAGAGCAAATCAAACAAAACACCCCTCTACCTCCCCCAGCCACGTGTTTATTCCTTACTTTCCAGATGTATCAGCTGGAGAGCTTATAAATCCACCAAAAACGTTTGAGGAAGTGGATAAAGAAGCCAGGGAAGGACATGATCTGTACGTTGTGTCACACAATGATTATTATGTGGGTAAGTTCAAAGGCTGATAAGAAACCGCATAAGAAGTTCTAATAGAAATAAGGGTAATTGTTCCTCTTCATGTCTTCAACATATACTCTATGTTATTTTTGGAGATACAAACTGTGAGTTTTTACTACTGTTTTTATATAACATAAAGTCTTTTCAAAAGTAATGATGTGGAAAAAAATACCTATATGCAACTTAGAGAGTATGACCAGTTTCTATAACAGTAGCATCACTTTGTGGTGGGTGTATTAGTATAAGAACCTAATGAAGGAATTTGAAGCCTTATGTCGTTTGGGTGCTATCTGAAAAGCAAAGTGTTTCCAGGAAGCTAGATACTCTTAGATGCCCTGGTTGCTTATTTAGTTTTGCACTGTCTGTGCTGCCGAGAGCAATCTCGGGCTTAAAGCTACGAACTGTGAGTGCAGCCCATTCTGGTACTTTCACCTCTGGTGCCTCTCTTTTTATAAGGATCCAGGCAGAATTTCAGGGCAGGTAGACTTCCTGAGGGGGAGCTCAGCATCAAGCTCTAGTTACAAGGGATTTCAGACTACTGACTGTCTCCGTGGAATGCAGGTGTCTACAGCATCCTGCCTGTGCATCTGTCCCACAGAATATTTCTGGGGGCTGTTCTTGTATGAAGTGGTCTGCTTAGGGATAGCAGTTACCCTTTTATCTCATAGGTCTGCACAGGAGCAGAGTAACAAACAGAACTCTGAAATTCAGTACATGGATTACTTCTCAGCCACTTGGATTTTTCCCGGTTCCATCATTTCCACTTAGGCTGAGAGACTTACATTGCAGCTGTGGAAGACTAGTATTATAATAAAATTGCCTGTTGCACTACTACCAGCAGTTTTGTAGGTGTAGCCAAGACATGTAAGAAACTGCAATACAGATGTTTCAGTTGTCATAATGCAAATCTTATATGGAGGCAGGTACATAGATGTGAAATTATGATGCTGTGGTGTCTCACTTAGAAGTTCTACTACAAATAGCATTAGTATAAATTGGCTAAGCTTGTAATTTTATTTCTCCTCTTCCCCAGCTTTCCAAGGTGTTTTAGTGGGATTATTCATTATCTATTTCTGTGTCCTTTTTAACTTCCATCCACAAGATCGCAGAGAAGCCAAGTCAAAAACAGACAGCAGGGAAAAAAAAAATCCTTGCTGCCATACAGCCAGAGGAAGTCCTTACTGGAAAGCATACAGGGAATAATTTTTTTTTTTAAAGTTTAATTGCCATTCTCTTCAAAAGGTGATTGAAAAGAGTTTGGAGAAACAGAATGACATTCTTTTCTGTGAGAAGAAACGTGCTTGCAGCTCATTTACACAGAGTACTTAGGTGATACTCTTGTATGTGAAACTTCATTTTATAGGCAAGGCTGGATTAATGGATTCATGAACAAGTAGGGTCATATCTTATTTACAGTCAGTGGCAAAATTTCCACTGAAGTCAACACAGCAGGATTGTATCCCAATGTGCAGCACCTCAAACCCATTTGTTGCCCTTTAGCATTTTGTTTGTTTGCTTTTTTAACAACTAGGAAGTTAAATGGTGCATGTCTCTGCTTAGGTATGGACATGATAAAGTGATTTGTTTGCAGGACCCTCACTACTTAGGCTACCTGGTACTTTTTCATTAATTCTCTTGGGCTTGTCTTTAGTCAGACATAAAAGGACATTTTGACTTTTTTTGCTGCCCTGGCATCAGCTATTTGACCACTGAAGGAGGTTTTGCTTTTTATTTTGTCTTTTATCTTCAGTTTTGTCAATGAGATTGTTCCTAACTACTTAATAAACATGGCAAATGCAAATCAGTTGTCTTTGATTGAACAGAATTGTTAAGTAGGTATTTGTTTTTGTTTCTTCATTTTTTTTTGTCTTAAGAATGAAGATCCTTAGTACATTTTTCTTCCTGAGGTGTTTTATACAGAATGAAATGCTTACTTTTTCCACAGGGGAAGCAATAAATAGGAAGTATGACTCACCAAACTTCAGCAAGTCTTTTACTTTTGGAAGAGAAACCCCTCACTTTAAAGATGGGCGATACGTATCCAAATCCTTAAACTGGCTCACTGATCTGCATTCGTAAGTTGCGATGAGTTAAGTAGTTAGTGGTGTGAATTTTCAAGAAGAATGAGTCTTCATATTTGAAGATAACTTTATATCTCACAATCCCATCCTTTAGCTATATTGAACTGAATAGAATGTGCAAGGAGTGATTTTCAGAATAGTTTATCCAAATTAGTTCTACTGCAGTATAGCAGCACCTGGCATATCTTTAGCATTATGTAAAGACACTTTGGATTTTAAATAGCAATATTTTTCAATTAATAAATTCATGTTTGTCTTGCAAAAGAATTGCTGTTTCCTTCTAACATATAATATTTTTATATATTACTGAAAAAAATGTTGAATACTATTAAACAAATGTGTGAGAGTTTTTCATTATTTGTAGGAAGAAAGCAGCAAAAATTGTATCAAAACAAAGCAATGATTTCAATGAAGAATTTCAGCCTCAGCTTGGAGAAGTCCTTGATCCGTAAGTAAGCAAAGCTAACTTGCAAGAACAGAATTCAGTCATGTTTGCCAGACCTCCAGTATATTTTTCTGCCTTGGGTAAAATTGTAACTTTGCACTCAGTGCTTCCACTGCAGCAATTGGTTACATAAAGGGACTTCCTACTTAAGGCTTAAGTGACTCTGGAGAACTACGCCCATGGTACCTGTAAGGAGGAAGCACAAGTGTGAGCCTCTCTCTTTCACTCTGTCCTACCTTACTGGGACGTAGACCTGGAGTGTGAGGAAAGTGAAGCAGTGTGATCAGTCAGGGAATATGAGTTGCAGTGCAAGTTCAGACCCAGCACTAGTACTACAAGGCAAATAAAAGCTAACCTGATTTTGTTTAGTGAATTTTGTATCACACACATCCTGTGTGTGATCTGGGAATGGTGAAAGAAAATACAGTCATTTTTAGATTACAGTGCTTCCATCTCTCTGTGGGTTTTTTAGTGTTTATTCTGTATTTTAGAATAAAACACTGATTCTTTTCAATTTTGATGGAGATTTCTGATTCATGTAAGAGTTTTTTAATTATTAAACACAGAGATAAAGTGAGCATTGCATAGTTTTCAAATTAATAAATAAACAATTATTTAATGTCGCCACCAGTATCTTAATTTTCTGGTAAATAAAATTGGGCCAGATTTTCCAGATAGTTATTGATGTAGTTGCTGGTTTTGGTAGACACAAAATTGCAAGTGAAAAAGCAGAGATATGATCCAATTTTTCAACTTGAACCAAAAATATTTTTTTTTGAGATATTATTTCAGTTGGAGATTTGATTTGTCCTAAACATTACTATTACTTCACTAATGTTATAAAAATTTGTCTCACTTATTTCTGTCATTGTCTTAGGAAAAAAAGATTTTTGCATAGAATGTATTTCCTTTTAATGAGTGTAAAAGTAAATTTACTTCAAGAAGTAAATGTTTACATTTGATTGTATTATATTACAAAGAGCAAATGTTCTAAACAGATTTATAAAGGGATGATTTTCTGGAGTTGCAACTTTGAAGCAAATACTGATACATTTCAGGTGAACAAATTATATAACAGAGCATCACATTTTAAAAATAATAGCAGAGGGTTTATTTTGGCTATTAATAAATTATTTGATAATTAATAAAGAAATATGCTTATTGACAGTATAGCAGAAACTATGAATGTTCCCCCAGGCCATACATTTGGAACAGTACTCCGTCCAGATAAGTGTGGTAAGTTCAGAGGCAGGATAAAATCCTGTCTTCTTGATGAAACTGTGCTGAAGTAATTTCTATTGGTTGTGTAGTATATATTTTGCCTAAAGTCTTGGAGTCAAAGTACAAAAATTTAACTGACAGTAAATTTTTGGAAGGAAAATTTGAGAAGAACCGAAGTTGCTAGTGGGAGAAAAAGAATGTCAGAAATAAAGAAACTTGAGGTTTTGGATGATCATGTTCAGGGTTAGGTTTTTTGTGTTTGGGTTTTTTTAAAGCTTCTGTATCAATGTCAAGGAAATGAGAAATGCCAGAAAACGCCTACTGACATCTAAGTGACAAATTTAAAGTGGTTGTTTAAATAAATTGTGCTACCTCTCATTGAGCACTTCTATAAAAAGAGTAAAAATAACTAGCAAGAAATAAGTATTGAAGGTAGCAGGGAGACAGAAAATAGAATGAAGATAAAAAAATATTAATGTTCATTGTGACAAAATTTTGAAAGTTAGTTCATGTAGTCAGTGTTGGGATTGACAGCATTTTAACATTATGTTTAATAACTAGGGAATACAGTGAATAGCTGGGCAGCAGAAAATTTCAGTTATTTAATTAGTCAATATCAGAGAGGGCTTGTTCAGATACTTCACAAGCTTTTACACATGCTTTACTAAGTAGTGTAATAAAGTTAAATATTTTAAATATGTAGGTGTGCTTGTCCTATAAGTAATAGCAGAAGGAACCAATAAAAAAATTTAATCATTAATAAGCAGAAAGCAATGCATGTGCCTTGCTGTTAGAAGGGAGTTAGGTGAGCTACTCCGATTTGGTACTGGACTCTGAATTCACTTCTTGCACTCTAGAAAGTGACCTTGGTGTCTTGGGGACCTGGACAAAGTCTGTAGCTCAGTGTGCCAAAGAGTTGAAGAATACTAAAAATGTTAGGTAACATAGAAAATGAGGAGAGTAACAAAAAATAGTATATTGTATTTCTGGAAAGACAATTATATATAATACATATAATTACCTGAAATATTATGTCGACTTTCCCATTTGTTTGTGTAAGTATCCGGAAATACAACTGACTAGAAGTGATAGATTAATAATCTATTTTCTTTTGTTCTCAACTGTCTGGACATTTAGTAATTCTTACTGCTGTCAGAAGCTTTTGGAAGCAGTGGATGGACTTGTGAAGTTATATCAAGATGTTTCAAATTTTTGATATCAACTACTGCATGCAAGAAGAGAAATCATGTGGAGTATTTTATCTTTTAATGAAATGGCCATATCAGATGTTCTGCAGTGCTGAAAACCAGCATCTCAAATCTCCAGTTGTCCTTTTCATGGAGACAGTAAGCCATTTAAAAAAATGTCTGTTTTCTGTGCAGCTAATTGAGGAAGTGTTTATTTTATAGGAGTTCGTGATCTTCTTCACTGCTGGGTTCCACATGAGTTCCTCCATGGTAAAGACAGAGAGAAAGTTGTCCTGACTGCAGTGCGGCAGAGTTTGAAGAAAGCTAACTATGAGAATTTTGACCTGTTACTGGAAGCATTCAGGCACTATGATAAGGTTAGTGCTTTGGAAAAGTAAAAGTGTAAAGAAATTTGTGACATTAGTGCTCCTGTGCTATGGAGATACAGACAGGAAGAAACATAAGCATAGCAAGGCAAATATAGTTGAAGGCTGTAAAGACAAGGTAACTTCATCGTTACTGTATGTTTAACCTACTGTGGTATGCTGTGGACTGAAACACAACAGTATTTGCAGCCTTTCACAACAGTATTTGGAATGATCCAAGTTAACAGCGAGCAGGGGATACGTGAGCAGGAATAATCTTAGCATTTTTTGCTCTTCAAAATTTATTTCTTCTTAAAAGGAAAATGACTGAAGGGATTATGTTCATGTTTTCTTCTAAGAGGTGCTTTTTGACTGAGTCACCAACACCAGAATTCCAGATATTTTCTTTTTTTTCTCTCTGGGAAAAAAACCCTATAATTGGCATTTCATATATAACATTAATTGTAACATATATAGAATGATTGATACCTTGCTTTCAAAAGAAATCTTGGCTCTGCCTCAACATTTATGATTAGATTGTTATCTTGTCATAATACTGTCTCACACCATTTTACTCTCAAATCACTGTATTATTTAAGTTGAAAGTTATTTCTTGACACTTCTCTATTCAGATTTTAAATTTCTAAATTTTTCAGAGTTTCTTTCTGTACTCAGCAATGTTATTCTTCTAAAATGTTGTGCCTGATGATATATATAAACACATATGTGTATGTATTCCTTTTGGTGGAACCTTTTTATAATTGCTGTTAAAACAACTGTTTTATTTTATTCTAATAGAACGGTGATGGAATGATAGACAAGGATGACCTACGAAAGTCATGTTTCCAGCTTAATATTGGTCTAGATGATGAGCTGCTGGATTCCTTATTTGACTGTTGTGATTTGGATAAAGATGGTCTGGTTAATTACCTGGAGTTTGCAAACTTTCTGAACTGGAAAGACAAAACAGCTGTTAAAGAATTTGAAGACAAAATAATTGCAAGAGGTAGATGACTTAATACTGGGAAATTGTGGAGATGATCTTGTTCTTACAACAGCTATTGAAAGGGCATTGCTGTTGTAGACTAGGTGGTCCTTTAGAAGGGTAGGATTTAAAGAGGGCATTTAGTCATTGCCTACCACCAGCAGAGCCTCAGATACAGATGTATTTCAGGACCCTGCAGTTCTGTGTTGCATGCTGAGAATGTCCCATAAGTGAACAGAAAGTAGAAAATATGTTAGAATCATTATCAGAAACACAGATTAATTATGTTGCCTACTTTATAAACAAAGTTTTCAGGGATTCGAGCAGTGTTATTTACCTCTTATTCTAATGTATAGTAAATCCTGGCTGGACCATAACTTTTGTTTCTAGGGAAAAAAACAGATGCTCCTATTCTGCCTGGAGGCACGAACATGAATCATGAGCCACTGCAGAAGCAGGAAGATCTTGTGTTAAAGGAACTGGGAAGTGCAGAAAAAACACCAAATATGCTTAGAAGATCAACAGATAATGTATTTGGAAATTATCAAACAACTTCTTCTCAGTATAATGCTATAGTAGGTGGTCTTCCAACAGCCTGTAAGTACAGTGGACTGTAGTTCTCAATTTTCGGCATTATTTAAGACAAAATCAGGAACAAGTTGAAAAATATTGCAACAAGCTCTACTAATGCAGGACAGTGAATTAATTTATCTGAACTAAGTTTGTTTCTGATTATGGCTTGGAAGTTGGCATGACTTGGATGTTTGTCATGCTTAATCCATTTGAAACATGAAAGTTAATCTAGATGTCTTTGAGAAATTCTGCTAGTCATTTTAGGAGAACAGCGTCTTCTTGGAATCACCTAAAAATGTTTTCGGCTGGAAGTACTGGATAAGTGTTAGAATATTGCTGCAAGACTTCCTGTTGTCATGCTTCATCGTGTAGCTGAAGCTAGGAGTTCTAAAAATGTGAAAACAGTGATGAGGAAGAAAATTATATAACTTGCTATTGAATCTATATGAGACGAAGTATCAAATTTGTTCTAATTTAATACAAAATGTTTTATCCTCCCTACTCCCTTTACATGCAGGCTTTTCCATGCTGCCTGTTGATTAATTTGCACAGGTTATCCAGTGTGTGGTGTTCCATCTGTCCGCTTGGACATTCCTACTCCTCAAGCCCGCCGCATCAGCGACAGAACTAACTACGGTGATGAGTCCAGTGCTTATGCATTGTTATTCCCTTCTGTCTTCAGTCAAAAGGGAGTGTATGAAAGAGACTTTTTAGAAACAAGACCAAAGGCAGAGGTATAGTGCATTTCTTCGGAATATTCTTCCAAGATAACCGTACCTCTAGCCATGTGGGAGTGGGAAGTCGTATTATCAGACAAACAGGTTGTCAAATTAGTTGTTGCAACGTTGCCACATTTCTTTACATGCATTCAATTATCTGCAAAATATGTACTCCTTTGCATTAAAAATTATTCAAAAAGGTGGTATATACTAATTTTCTCGACATCCAACTTCAGTAAGTAGTATAAGGAAGTATGTCAGGTTGTTGCTACTCACATGCTCAAATGCTGTGTCAAACGAGGGCTTAAGTGTCTGTGAGTCATCATTTCTGCAGTGTGAGAAGAGCGAAACAGTTGTGAAATTTCCATCCTTGTACATATTCAAATTTTTGAGCAAGGTCCCAGGCAACATTGTTTAATGGGAAAGTTAGCTCTGCTTTGATTATGTGGCTGGCTGGATGATCTCTTCCAACCTAAGTTATTATATGATTCTAGGAGTAGATGTCTCAAAAAAGCGCCACAAAAAGATTTTTACAGGTGTGTAAAATTAGTTTCTCTCACAGAGGGATGTTCAGTGGAAAATTTTACCCAAGGTGTCTCTTCTCAAAACAGATTTGCAGGTTTTGCTAATGGCAAATTCAGCAAACTGCTTGAATATACTTTTTTAAGTGCTCTGCTGAGTCACAGTCGTGGGCTCAGATCTACAAAGGACTTGCACAATGATAGAGGATGTAGGTAGTCACACACTGCCATCTCTTTCTGAAGAGGAAGACAGGATGTGAGACTGTAAGGACTTGCCTGGGTACTCTGATTTTTCTATCTGATATCTCTGGGGGCTGCTACTGCTTTGTTATCTCACAGTCCAGAGTTCCTCTTACATAAATATTGAAACAACTTCATTTTTTCTTCAGTATTGTTTTACTCTTTTGCTTCTACATTTATATGCATTTTTAGTGAAAAAAATATTAAGAAATAACTTCATTATCTGAAACACAATTTATGAGACAGTCTGTGAAATTCCAGTCTAAAATGAAAAAAGAAGCCTTGATGACATCTCTCTCTGTCTCTCTTAGTCATTATATTAAATATTCAGTTACTTTGAAAGCAGATCAGGAACTTGAGTATGTATTTTACAAACAAGAATTTTGGTAGTTAGTGGCTGGGGATGTAGAAGGTGTGGTGTTATGTTCTATCCATATACATAAAATGGCTTGTCAGAATGTTGTGTACATGAGCATTTACCATTTTATACTCTCACTGTGAAGCAGGGATTCCATGCGTGCAGAATACAGCTAACAGTAAATAGAATTCATGCTTCACTGAGAAGCCCGTGACACCTGCCGAGTGCTCGGCAGAACTCTTCTCTGAAGTTACAGTGTGGCGTGAGGTGTCCTTCTCCACTGTAGACTATACAGGCTATACAGAGTTCAGTACAGAACTACCTCTGACTGGGTTAAATCACCCTGTACTCATGAAATGCAGTTTCAGTATTTCAGTGATGCTCTTTGATTTATTTTCATAGTCTTATTTTTGTTTTGATGTGGAGTATTAATATTTTCAAACAGGTAATAGCTAATGAACTTATATGAAAGCCCAGAGTCATTTCATACTACCAGGTTTTGTGTAGGCCTGTAGAAGTGCATGAATTCTGACTATAAAGCAATTTCAGGAGATGACTCTTCATGTTACAGAAGAAAAAATAGTTCTAGGGCCTGCTGTTCTCCACTAGAATGTCCTAGTCTATTGAAAAGAATAGAAGGTATGTAACTGAATAGTAGTGTGTGATGTGTATTCATTGTGGTCATGTCAATAATTAATGGTCAGTTTAACCCGCTCTGCACACTTGATTGTCTGTAGTTTAGTTAGTGATTATGTTATAGCTGTTGTTGATTATGTTATAGCCAGGTTATGAGAGCATGGTGTCCTTTATTGTCCCAGCAGTGGTATCCTATAATGGAATATTGCCTTCAGTTTCACTTTTAAATTTCACTAGCTTTTTGAAGACATTAGATCAAGTCTGGCTTGTTTTCCTCATGAGTAATATTACGATTTAACTGAAACAACACCTGTGCTTGAAGAAATAAATTTTAGTCCCTGTTTTCCTCCTGTAATTTCAGCTGGCATAAACTGTCATAGGTTTATTGGCTAAGATGAAGCTGTACATTTGCTGTACTGTGAATCAGATCTATACTTATACAAGAGACAGTTTTTGAGAATCAAACAATGTTGATTTGACTGTGTTAAAGGTCTTACTTTATCAAGGCGTGCATAAAATCCCCAGAGCATAAATAGAGCACCCATGCATACATGCACAAGATACAGCTGAAGAAGCCACACATATGCTGATACTAACACAAGCACAAGCCACATCAATATTCTTCTAAAGCCACCGTGCTCTAATGAGTCAACAGGTCAGTGTCATGAAGCATTCAGCAAGAAGCATCCAATTGAGAAAATCTGGAAAAAATGTGTTTCTGCTGAATTACTTTGGTGCAAAACTATAGCAAGACCCAAAGCTGATGTGAACAAAGCTGATGTTCCATTAGTCACTTCACCAGTTGCCTGTACCGACTCCAGATCTTGCGTGTGGCACTCTTGCTGTGAAATGCAGACAGCAATGTAACCTGATTTATGTTGATAACTTCAAACAGTACAAATGCAGTGGATAAACAGAACTTAAGGCTTCTAAGAAAACACTTACTTTTTCCCTGAATCTTCTGGGTTTGATTTTTCCAAGGTTGAAGTTGCATCAGCATTACTTTATTAGCTGCAGACAGTTTGTACGTCTCAGCTTTCATCCCACTAAGATCCAGATTTACACAAATAGGAACTACTTTACTTAAGGATGCAGGATGTGATCTGTAGTTCTTATTTAAGACTTCAAAAATATTCTTTGGCAAATAAAGATTGCTAGTATGTATACAAGACAGACTATATCATTTAAAGAAAATACTGGAATTATATTAATTGTATTAATTTGTAGATTGCACAAATTCTCCACAACATTGGCATGAACATTTCAGATGAAAAGTTTGAAGAGATATGGAAGCAAGCTGCTATGAAACATCAGAAAGAAGAGGTTTGTGTAGAAAGCATCAGGAATGTACTGGATGAGATATATGGATCACATAATTCTGATGCTGAATACAATAAACATTTTCAATGACACGTTTATGGAACTGGAATTCACTGTTCATTGCATTTCTGAGTAGTGTGTTCACCACATACATATGAATCTTACGGCTACCATTGCAGTTTGTAGGAATGGATTGCCAGAGGTATAAAAGAGAATGCAGCATGTTTGTAAGTGGAATACAAATATTTATCTTACATTCTTTATCTTTTTGACAGTGTTCCTAAGTCTGAGTAATAATACTTTGAGCATGAACACTGTCCTGGTTTGGGTTAGAACAGAACTAATTTTGTTCAGTGATTTTACTTTTCAACTCTGAAATTTCTGAAATTAACAGCACATTTTCACAGTGTCTGCTTCTAGCAGTGACAACACTCCATGTTTACAGTTACCACCAAGGATCAGTGTGCAGACCAAGGTCACTCCTAAATCCCGTGTACCACATTAAGGGGGGCAGAAAGTAAAGGCCACATGTGTGGGGAGGAGAGGACAGGACAGGTGACCCTAAACTGACCAGCGAAGTATTCTATCCCCTATATGTCACATTCAGTATAAAGCTGAGGGATCACAAGGGTAAGGCTCTCTTCTTCAATGGCTGGCATCGAAGGAGGACTCCGTCCGTTCTGCCTTTGATCCTGATCTGTGTGTTCCTGAATCCAGTTCCAGAACCCAGCTTCTGTATCTGGTTCCCACCTGCCACTGTGTCCAGTCTGGGACTTACCCATGGCCTGTGGGTTCAATACTGGTTTTGTATATACTCCATTTTATTATTGTTTTCATTAAAGGTGTTTTAGTTTTCTAATCCATAAGTCTCTCTCCCTTATTCCCTTTCTCTTCCCCTTTGGAAGGGGAAAAGGGTTAACAGAGAGCGTCTGTTATAGGTCTGGAGGCAGCCCTAATCCTAAAATGTGACAGACACATACTGCATTTTTAATATTTTTTTTTTTCCTCTTACAAACAGACACTTCTGAAATACTTAAGATAAATGTTTCAGGTATGCATATGCAAGACCTTAAAGAGTGTTATCATAGAATGGCGTCTTGCTTTGCTTCTAATGTTCCATAATTTCTTGCCAACAAAGTGTTAGCTAACAGAGATCTGGTTGTGGTAATTTAACAGGTTTAAAAAATCATGTGAGAAAGTGTTTTACAGTAAAATACTAAGATACGTAGTCGTGGGTGTGGGATCTAAAGTGTTTTCATGAAATGCAATCCTTAATAAACAAAACGACGTGCAAAAATAAATGCCTGGTTTTGTGGCAGAGGGTTCAGATTCTTTATGCAAGCTTATGGCTATTAGATAGATGCACTCAGCTTTCACTAACAAGAAAAAAACCCAGATATTTAAAAGTGTATGTGCATTATATGAAAACACAGCTTAAGTAGTCAGAAGAGTTTGGGAGGGCTTTCAGAGAGTTTGCCTGTGACCAATGCATTTTCTTGGGAACAGGGATAAAAGAAAACCATTTGAGGTTCATTATGGAATTCTCAATGAATATATATGAAGTCCAATAAGAGTAAACAATGGAAAGCAAGTAATGCAAAAATCTGCAACTGTAGATTATAACGTTCACTTTTCACCTATAGTAATGAGCTTTGTATAAAACAGATGGAAATTGTTTGATATTGACAGTAAGAATGGTTACTTTTAGACTTTTTCAAATTAATTAAAAAGAAAAATCCCTACCCAACGTGATCTTAACATACAGGATTTCAGGAAGGTTATCCCTTTGTCACCTATTGGTGCTTTAAATACCTTAGCAAGATTTGGAGGATCTTGGTACCCAAAAGTTTTATTGCGTTCTACAATGTAAGTAAAATTTCCATATAACTTAAATACTAGGAATGTATGTGTAATGTGCGCTTAAAATTTCATTGTCACACTTCACTCACCTGATTGTTAAGAGTCCTCTTTTGCCATTGTTCTAGGAGCTTGTAATGTACTCCCTTGTTAAGTGAGATCCGTGAGCAAGACCCTTTTGTACATTATTATCATAGCATTAATAGCAGCTGTCTTACATCAAGTAGAAAAAATTTCCTTTCTGGCATTCTCAGGGAGCAGGTGGTGGAAATGATGCCTGATGAAGGTAGCTGCTTCCCTGCTGTGAATGGAAGTTGTTCTGTCCTGTTGTTACCTTGCCTTCCAATCCTTCTGGAACTCTGCGTGCACTGGGAAGCATGCAGGAAGCAGACTGTGACTGTCCCGAGTGAAATCATGTCAGAAAGATTAATATACTGCTAATTTCTAACTTAATTTATTATGTCAGGATTTTACTTCCAGTGAAATTTTCTAAAGCTCCTTTTTCTGCTCATATTAGCTAGGAGGGAAGAATCCTTCACCTTCATTGTGGTGTGCTTCCAAAAGCATTGGACAGAATTACTTTAAACAAAATAATATTGTTTTTTTCTTTCAGTAGAAAATTTTAGATGAAAGATTAAAACTCACTTCAGGAGGAAAAAAAAAAGGAAAATAGTTACTAGATGTCTCTGTGTATACATATACATACACATATATATGAGATCTGTTGTGTTTGTTTAGTAGCTGGAAATTGTGTACCTTATGCTTTGACTCTACTGTAATGATACCCACTTTCATGCCTCTGCTTTCAGTACAATCTTTTCCTTTGTGAAAGTGGAATTAACATTGTTATTGGGTGGTCTGCTAAGTAAGTACAGAATAAAGAATACTGGTTTTGGGGTTTTGCCAGTATGTTTCTTACTGCAGACTAAAGGTTTCCTTTTGAGCTTGGTTTTAAATGAACTGAGGTGGTGTTCATCTGAACTTGCCTCTTGTGAAGCTTTAAAGGATTAATCACTGAACAGAGCTGTAAATGCTATTTGTAGGTGCTTCTTTTTCATTAAAATACACATATGAGGCACCTGAAAGACTTAATTGCTGTGACACACTTACTTCTGTGGCATTGCTCAGTCCCTTTGTGTACTTTTGCTAAATGCTTTATAGACACACGAGTCTTGGTGCAGATTTTTGTATTTCATTTCTGTTTGACTTGTGGAATTCAATGACATATTTATAGGCTTTAGAGCTGTAAGTTGTGTTCTGTGATTTTTATGGTTCCTTTAATATGTTCCAATTGACAGAAAATATAAAGGTTGCTTTCTTCTGTATTGCAGTGTGATTGCCTTTACCTAGGTATGGAGTTTATGGATTTAACCAGGACGGCACACTGCCATTTACTAACCAGAGTAAATGCTCTGTACCCAAGGCAGATTTTTTCCAGAAAGGTTAGCAAAACTAGCTGTTTTGAGCTATGAAAAAATGCCATAGTTCTGAGTTCTAAGTGTTCTGAGAGCAAATGTAAAAACTCAGCACTTGAGTAAATTTGGTTTTTTTTAAGTTATATTACAAAATCATAGTAATATGTTGACTGAGACTTTGTGGACAAAACTAGTAAACAGCAAATCCTGACAAAGGTAAATATTTTGGTAAAATTCAGTGAGTTCTAAATATTTGGGGCCAAATTTTCTTCATAGAATTTTCCTAAATTCTGGATAAAAGACACAGCACATTTAGATATTTGTTCACTATTTCTCCATTAATCTTTGTTTCACTACAACAATGATTCCAAAGAACAGCATATTTAATAAGTATTTTTAACTGGGTCTGTCAAATGTATCTTAAATCATTATCCTCTTAAATTCATCTTAGAGCATATGTATTGGTTTCCAGGGACAGAGCAGGGAGGTCTTCCTTTCTACAGAGGTAGAAGTCAGTGTTTTCTTCTCCCCAAAAGTCATGCCAGGGACACTGACTTTCAATACCCCAAAAGACCTATAAAAAGATAAGGCTGTAGATTTGAATGTGCAAAATGACTTGTTATTCATTCTATATTTCTGGCTCTTAGTCTTTAGAATGTGAATATTAGCACAAGACGGGTGTACAGCTAATATGACTGGCTTGGCAGTGCTTTGTGCTATGCAAGGCAGATGCTTGACACAGTTATTCTTTTTATGTTGTCTAATAAAAAAATTCAACTGTGCAATGACTTTGTGTTTGAGATGCTGGGAGATCCAGCCCACTGTCTTGCATAGAAATGTGTGTACAAATAAATGTAGACTTTGCCATGATATTTTTACTATTTAACTTTAAGGTATGTCTTAAAAGGATTAAGGTGGGTTTGGTGTGTGTAGTGGTTCTTTGTTTGTTTGTTTTTTCCATGGTAAATTAAGATTGCAGGTTTTGAGTGATTTACCTAACTCAGGTAAATTTCCTGGTCCTGGAACTCAGAAGTGAATGGCCAGTTTTGGTTGTTTGTTTTGTCTTTTTTAAACAACTGTATGTAATTATTTGGGTGCTAAATAGAATGCTAATAACCCTTTATGCTAAGAATAGTAGTTCAAATGGATTCCTAAGCAGAAAAAGGAGGTACTGGGGCAAAGTGCCCAGAAATATGTATTAAGTCTTTATCTTGCCAACAGATATGAATAGGTAGGATATTTTTGGAATGGCTTATCTAGCCTAATTAGTTTGTGTCTGTCATGACAAGGTTTTTCTTTGGAAACTAGTTATTTGCATTTGACAGTCCCATCACTGGGCACCATCTGCCTGCGTGGTTTCACGTTGTTGTATGGCCAGAATGCTTTCCTGGCAGATGGGTATGAGTTTAGTCATGCCAAAGAGACACTAAACACTACATGGGTGTGTAGTTGGGATAGGATCTTTAATTTTGAAAATGGCAACATAGATTATGAAGACCTGTAGAAAAGATTTTGGCATCTGATCAGGATTAATCTGTGAAGAGAAAGGTAGTTAAAGCAGTCTTCACCGTGTTGTGATTTGCTAAGATAGGTGCTTGATGATTTCTGTCAAAAGTGTGTGGCCTCTCTGAGCAGACTGGAGTGGACAGAGAACTTGTGCATTTCAGGTCCATATACCTGGCTTCCAAACATCAAAACTATGGAAAACTTATATTCCTCGACACAAGTATGTGCAGTTGTGTTCTGAAATTATATTCTAGAAGGTTAGGTGGTAAATTCTGTAATACCTAAATAGTAAACCTTTGGTGTATTCTGCAG